CTTCACAGCGACAAATTTCAAAATCATACAAATATTTTATTCGACATCGCAGCTGTTACAGCAATCTACACAATCGCTGTTGCGCTTGCAAGCACTTCAGCCAATACATTTGTATGGTACCACACGTTGAACCAGGAAGCAGTTTCTCTGTCTTTTTCGGTTCCCCGCCCCCTTTCTTCCAGAAAACAATCTTAGAGCCTTTTCTGTCGCCGTGTCAAATCTCTTATCTTGCCATTACCGCGAAGTGTAATACTGAAGGACGCGAAAAAAGCCCGATCCATTTGGTTTAATTTGAATAGCTCATCTGAGCATGACATTAATTCAGCAGGACTCCCCCTTTCCTTCCTTCGCCCTCTTTTCCTCTTTTTGCTGTTAGGTAAAATCCTAGAAATGAAATTTTCCCCTGAACCTGAGTGTTTTGTGTATGTGTGTGTGTGATGTGTATATGTGAGAATGTGTTTTTTTTTTCTTTGTTGTGACAATTTAATGAAGTTACGCTGGATGAAATTACTTGAAGGCAACCCGAACCCGAAACCCGTGGGAAGCCACGAACCTGAAGTTGATTTTTTGGAAAAATACGAGCAACAAACACACGCACAGAAATAGTATAGTCCTAATCATAATGAAAAATGGACATTCATTCAGTCACGCGCGTCTTGTAAACTACGGCACCTGAGATTTTCTCCAGATTCTTCGCAAACCTCGTTCCAACATCCTTCCAGAAACAAAGCGGCAATGAGGGCATATTGTGCAACTTGAGCGACAGGCTCTGAAATAGGTAAGATGCTTGAACAAGGCATATGTGCAAATTGAAGTGAAAAAAGGGTTCTTAGTGAGCTGACAGACTTGTTTAATGAGCAATGCCCGTAATAACAATAATAATAATAACAAATTATTATTACGGCCGCAATAATCATAATAATAATAACAGTGATAACAATAATAGTAACAGCAATAATAATAAAAGCAATGATGGTAATAGTAATTGAATGACAATAATAAACGGTATTTTCACATTTCTTTAGGGTTTCAATCAAAAGGAAACGAAGGGACTGGTATGAGTTATGAGGAAGAGGCAAGTCATTATGTGCAAAAAAACTTTAAAAAAGGAGAGAAAACTTCATTTTTATGGTCCATGAGGTTAAAATGTGGAAAGGGTAATTGATCTGAAAAATATGTGAAGGTGGAATTTTTGGTTTTCAAAACTATATACGTATAATGAAAAAAAATTATTTCAGCCCATGAAATTGTACACATTTCCTTCCAGTGCCACAACTTAAAACTCGCCACAACTTAAATAGCTTAATTGTAACTCAAAAGGTCGGTAAAATGACTTGTAATACATAGTGTGTAGAAAAATGCTTCAGAAAAAAAAGACATAAAGTGATGGCCCAATTCCAAAACTGAATGTCTGAGGTGTATAGTTTTCAGAAAAAAGAAAGTGGTAATTAATTGCTAACGTCAAACTCCTAGCCCAGCTCCACGTATCCAAGCCTCTGCTCATATTCCGTTGATGCATTGCTGGCTGGTGAAAGCGAAGTAACGAATAATACGGAAGATGCGATACCATTAGTTAAACGAACAATCATTTTACGATCCCACTGTTAACCACAACGGGCAGATGGCAAGAAGTTAAGGCCACTTGCATTTAGTGCTCGGAAGAAGCCATCAACAGTCTTGCCTGTGGGAAGTAGCTTTTGCTCTCAGATTACTCCCGAGTGTCTCTACTGCCGGAGAGTTGGGGCACGGAGGAGGATGGGACTAGTTAATTCAGCTCAGCTCGGATGAAAAAAACTAAACTGCTGCTGAATAAAACAACTTATCTGGAAAAAAATCGTCTGAAACAATTTAAAAAATTAAAAGCGATTCCCACCTTAACATATTCGGTACCATTTTGATATGAGACCACAGCTTCATTCAAGACGGCGTGAGTACCAGGGCCATGGTATACCGTCCGATTGCCCGTCATATTTAGACGCACAATGACCAAGTCCGGAAAATAACGTCCGACGGTGTACTTTATTGTCGGATTCAGTCCAATATCGCGCATGGTTTTGCTCAGCTAAAATGGAAAACAAAAAGTATACTTTTATTATGCATTTTTGCACATAAGCAAG